CGCTGGTGGCTTTCGGCGGAGGCGGGGGCGCGCCCTTCGCGCAGCCCGCGGCCGCCGCGGCCGCCGCGGCCCCCTTCTGCCTGCCCTTCTACTTCCTCTCGCCTTCGGCGGCCGCCGCCTACGTGCAGCCCTTCCTGGACAAGAGCGGCCTGGAGAAGTACCTGTATCCGGCGGCGGCCGCCGCCCCGTTCCCACTACTGTACCCCGGCATCCCCGCGCCGGCAGCCGCCGCCGCCGCCGCCGCCGCAGCCGCCGCCGCCGCCGCCTTCCCCTGCCTGTCCTCGGTGTTGTCGCCCCCTCCCGAGAAGGCCGGCGCCGCCGCCGCGACCCTCCTGCCGCACGAGGTGGCGCCCCCTGGGGCGCTGCACCCCCCGCACCCGCACGGCCGCACCCACCTGTCCTTCGCTGGCGCCCGTGAGCCCGGGAACCCGGAGAGCTCTGCTCAGGAAGATCCCTCGCAGCCAGGAAAGGAGACCCCCTGAATCCTCGCCCTCTTTCTTAGGCAGGACGAGGGTTCACGCGGAATAATAATATTAATAAGTTAAAACACCCTTAACGTTTTTAAGGGAGGAAGTGTAATAGATGCACGACAGGCTTTTAAAACAACAACAACAACACAGGTGTTTTGTGTACATTTGGAGTTCCTGTTTTGCTCATCCCTCACCACCCCACCCTCCGCACACTAACATCCTTTTCTTCCCCCACCGGCTCTAAAAGATCCTCTGCGGTATTGATACTTTATTCTTTAAAGAATTTCCCCCCAAATAAGTTTTGCCTTCCTTTAGGCCATGTTCCATTGTTTTTTAAAAATACAGAACCTAATTCTGGAGGAAGTGAGAAGGGTCTGCTGTGTGGGTGAGCTAATTGAACCAGGGGAGGAGCAAGGTGGCCCAGGAGTTGACCTGAAAGGCAGGTAGGCAGTTGTTATCTGCCTGCCTCATTTGTGTCCTGCCTGCTTCAGGAGGCTTTCCACAAACAGTGAGGACCTTTTAGAACTGAATTTACTCTTCAGTATTTTATAATGTTCAGCTTTTTAAAAGGTATATATTTTTCAAAGAGGAAGAAGTGAGGATGCAGTCACTTGCGTTGCAACCTATTCTGAAGTGGTTTGAATGGTATCCCCTAGTAACTTGCTCTTGTTTAAAGAGACACGGAGTTGGGCCATTGTCAGAACTAAGTCAGGGAAGGAGATGGATGAGGAAGGCCGGAATCATTCTTGGTACATTTACTAGCACTTTATTGAGAAATTGACCGTGAATCAGTTGACTTGTCTTAATTTCATATATATATCTATATATCTATATATATATATATATATAGATATATATATATAGATATATATATCTATACATCTGTATCTATCTATCTATAGATATATACAAACACATATGTGTATATATATAGATATATATAGATATATATATTGCATCTATTCCCACCTTGTCATTATTTAATCCATCAGGTTCCTAAGTTTTTATAATATTGCTGTAAAAAAAAAAAAGGAATGTGCACTGAACTTAAAAACAAAAAAGAAAACAAGTCCAAGATGATTTATCCTATATTCTTTCTGTTAAATAACAAAAGTGGAGAAAAGCATTAAACTGGTCAGTTTTGAGTGAAAATGCTGTAAAGATGTGGAATGAAGCCCTGTGTGGCCTTCCTATCTCCAAGTCTATGTATTTTCTGGAGACCAAACCAGATACCAGATAATCACAAAGAAAAGCTTTTTTTAATAAGGCTTAAACCAAGACCTTGTCTAGATATTTTTAGTTTGTTGCCAAGGTAGCACTGTGAGAAATCTCACTTGAATGTTATGTAAGGGGTGAGACACAACAGTCTGACTATAAGTGAAGAAAATATCTGGGTCTTTTAGTCAGTTTGGTGCATTTGCTGCTGCTGTTGCTACTGTTTGCCTCAAACGCTGTGTTTAAACAACGTTAAACTCTTAGCCTACAAGGTGGCTCTTATGTACATAGTTGTTAATACATCCAATTAATGATGTCTGACATGCTATTTTTGTAGGGAGAAACTATGTGCTAATGATATTTTGAGTTAAATATCTTTTGGGGAGGATTTGCTGAAAAGTTGCACTTTTGTTACAATGCTTATGCTTGGTACAAGCTTATGCTGTCTTAAATTATTAAAAAAAAAATAAATACTGTCTGCAAGAAACCAGCTGGTTTAGAAAGTTTTAGTATGTGAAGATAAACTAGAAATTATCTTTATATTCTAGTATTTTCAGCACTCCATAAATTCTATTACCTAAATATTGCCACACTATTTTGTGATTTTAAAATTCTTACTAAGGAATAAAAACTTTAATATACGACATGAGATTGTCTAATAATTAAAAAGACATACTGCTCAATTAGTTTTAAGATATCTATGAATTTAGGGATGAAAGCTATTAATGTTCTAAGATAAAGAAAGAACTTTGTCATTGGCTTGATATCACACGTTTCCAATTTCTTGCAAGCCTCCAGGCTCTCGCTGTGTCTACCTACTTATTTCCAGTGTATCTCAATGAAAAGTGCAAAAGAAAAACCTACCAATCACTTGCGTGGTCTGTTGATGTCAGACCCAATTTGCTAATGTTTTTACGATTGATGTATTTTTCATTTCTCATCTTGACACCAGATAGGCCTGGTGTTTCTCCGGTGTAAACACACTGTCATATAGGAGAGCTTAATTTCTCCATACACTTTTAGCTCTTTAATCTTTATAAAATAATTTTACTGTGGAACTTCATCATAGAATTCAAGGAAAAGAAATAATTATCTTTAGACTTGTCTCAAATTCATAATCAAATTTGTGATTTACTATAAACTGTGTGAAGGATTGTCAATTTTTAGTTTCAGTAATGTTCTTCACAAACCCTTTGATTTTTGAAAGGTGTTGAAAGAATAGTCAAAATTTATGAGATGTAGAAAAAGTGCTCCCTCTGCTGACTTACGGCAAAGAAACTCCAAGTCATTGAATGTGGAGTCAAAGGAATCTCAGAGATCAGTTTGTCCAGCCCCCTGCATTTTATAATATGAGGGAAATGAAGCCCAAAGATATCATATATCCTCCTAAGATCAAACTGCTAGCTGGAGGTATCACAAGAGGCCTGAACTATTGTATCCCCCCAGTCAGTAAACTACCTCCCACTGGAAGTATCTTCAACCACTTAAACTGAAATTGACTGGGTAGCATTCGTGAACCATCATAAATAAACCACAAGAACAAAGGAAATAAAAATGACCATTAGGAAACCAGGTAGGATTTTTGAGCACCATAATTTATCGAACTTTAGAAAGATATTGTCTATACCAGAATAATGGGATAAAGCAGCATTTTAAATATTTTGAGCTATATTTTAATGTCCTATTGTAATCATACTACTTTCAGAACCAAAAATGATGCAGAGTAAATCAGAGAACAGTAAAATGTTTTTGCATTTGTATAATTTTGGTATAATAGAGTAAAAAACCTTAGGGTTGGGCCAGATTTTATAGGTCAGTTATTTAGTCCAAATGTCTATATACTTATATGGTAATATAAAGTTAGGACAGCTGCACAATAATATTGTCTATATGGCATCTGAAAATTATTATTTTTGTAATTGATTTATTTTATGAATTAAAACACTAGAGTAATGACTCCAGTAATAATTTACCAAGGATGGTCCTGTACCTGCAGTGGTGAAATTTTACCCAAAATGTTTTGTAGTATATGTGATTTTTCAGTCTAAGACAGACATGAATCTTGAGTTAGTAATGCTTTTATACATATAGTATTATGCCACTTAATTTTATGTACATATGTATTTCTCAGCAAACTTCATATTGAATTGATAAGTGGCCTTTCCCCCGACAAAGAGCTAAGGCACTAGAAACTACATTTTAATAGCTATTTAAAGTATGACTGGAGTTTTAGTTCCTATCATTGTGAAAATTATTTTTCATTTAGTTCACTGTTATTGGCCATGCAGGCCATAAGTTTGGTTATTGCTCATCAACTGAGATTGGTTCAAAAGTATGTAAAAGAAGGCCTCAGCCAATTTCTGAATATGTCACAGGTCAATTTTGAACCTCTCCATGGAAGGTGATTGCCGGTTGAGATCCTTGGAAGACAAGGCTGGGCAAACAGACTAAGGCCTTTTCCTTTAAAGAGAAATGAACAGAGGCCTCGTGAACCAATTAAGGCTGTTATAATGCCAAAACCTGGCTGTACTATTGTGATAATAGTATTTTACTTCAATCTGATGTTTTTCTCGTTAAACAAAATCTATTGGACCCTCAGATCAATACTTACTGTTCTGTGTTGTTTTATGTAAGTTCAAAATGGATATACAGTGCATGTTAAAGTCCAATGTAAGTTCTAGTTTTTCACATTATTTAATAGGAGATTGACAAGGAAAATTATCACATATTTCTTGTGATTAGGATGAGATTTATACTAAAAAGCATGTGCAGCATGTGCTTAAAAATAGGCTCCTAGAAAGGAGTTGGACATTTGTCTTAAAATTGGGTTTCTTTCCCTACTTCAGTGATTACTTCAGTGATTACCATATTGAAAACTCCAAACAAATGTAAAACTATACCTTTTTCAAAGTTGATATTTTAAAATTATGAACTTAGTGATACCCAATTTATGTGGCTTCAAGGAATGACACATGCCCCATGAAAGAATGATTCAGAAAACTGAAGGTTCTATGTTTAAGTTTATTCGTTTATCTTTTCTTTTTTTCCTTAACATTTTAGTGAAAAGCTTCCTAAAAGATATTACACAGGTCCTCTATACTGTCTTGTACACGTCTTAGAAATAAATATCCTATCCATAGTTATCCATTCTCCATAATTCAGGGTCAACCTTATAAATACCACTTTTGCACTATGCATGTCATCTGGGAGTATTAGCATCTGCACTAAATACTTTCTGAGTTCTTATATCTGCTTTTTATAGGTTTGTCAATCTCTTTACTCACGATCAGGCTGCCAGCTGTCACTTCTTGATGTGTCAGAGTCCTTGCCTCTAACTCTTATCTAATTTGCTATCTCTGACTTACTGAGACCTGGGAAACCATTCGACAAAAACCACACCCATTTGAAATGTGCCTAAAATTAGAATAAATAGGCTCTAACAGAAGTACCTAGGACCACTTTTCTAAACTGTGTGAGCTTATAGAATCAGTAACATGTTTCTCCCCTAACGCTTTTTTCTTCATTTCTTTTACTTTTCACATTCTTGGCAATGTTCCTATCAGAACACTTATGCAAAAGCCCTCAGATATTTTATATATTTTTTGATCATCTTATTAAGTAAAAAAGCAGCTTGCTAATGGCTTTATTCCACAGCTAACCACAAAATAATGACATTTTCATGCCAGAAACAAATTATTTTATCTGATGAACATTTTTCTCTCAGACTGATAGGAGTAGAGCACCAAGGGTCGTTAGTAAAAACTGATTCAGCATTTTGATTCATGGATGACCCTGGCCCTGCTTCTGCTGTGTAATCACCCCCACCTCTGGGTTTTAGAAATCTTGAGTGGCACATCCAGCAAAAACATTCTGGGGAACTGGCAGGGAGGTGTGTGGGCCCAGATGCTGCCTCTGAACTTAGACACACCCATTGGAGAGCTTCTGGTAAGAGGTTTCAGACTTCCTACTGATTGCAACACACTCCTTAGCTCAGTGAGCCTATAGATTGAACAAACGGTGGGCCTGGGGATACAGGCATCTGGTTTGACCCTACTATATGTAAGGTGCTGTGACAGTGCAGGAGAATCAAAGATTAATAATCTCTGAAGATCTCAAAGTCTAGTGGGAGTGACAAACCAACACTAAAAGAACTTAATGCAACATAGTAGGTGCTATAAAGAGGTGAATACTAGGGGGTGATGGTTGCTACCTTCATCTGAGTAAGTCTGAGACAGCCTAGAATAGTAGTAGCTGGTTTTCACAGAACGAGCAGGTGAATGAGTCCATGGGGCTCTCTCCAAGAAGGTTCTGATATACTCTGGTCCTGTGCTGAGTACCAGGAGTTTAGTTGGCTATATTTGACTAAGGTCTGAGCAAGGATTTCCTAATTTCTTAGTCTCTTTAGAACCTGACTGCTGTACTCTCTCACCATCATCTCCTCTTGAGGACCTGAACCATGAGCTGGGACTGAGTGGTCATAACATTTCCTACTGCAAAAGAGAACATTCATTGCATGATAATCTGTAATGCAGCAGAGGGGTAAAAACCTAGTACCTCACAAGCAGCCTCTGTCTCACCTCAACCTTTGATCTTTCTTACAGAAGAAACTAAGGGTGACTTCTTTCCCTTCACGTAAGGGCATGATGATCCATGTTCTCCACTCAGCACCGGAGAGGGGGAAATGAGAGAGATAGAGAGGAGTCCTAAAGGGAAACAAGGATTCCTTAGGTCTATTTTTCAAAACATCCAGGAGGAAGCTGAGGCAAACAACTAGTCCAAGGTCATGTAGCTCAGTAAGTAGCAGAATGAGGACTGGAACCAGATTTTTTGGTTCTGAGTCCACTGCTCTTTAAGCTATTACCCCATAGCAATAGTAATGAGGAGGGGAAAGCCTGACTTTTGCTCATGACATGAGTGGAGCTAGTCCACGTGAGGTCCTAACAGGCAAGAATATATAGTTGGTGGTGGAGAAGGAAAGATGGCCAGACAACCCCTTCCCAAAACATGGAATAGAGCATGCAATAACTGAAGATAGAGAAATTCTGGAGACACAATAGTCAAGGTCCTCTACAAAGAACCATACAGTTTTTCTGTCTACTAAATTTGGAGACATCCAGAAATGTGCCCTCCTTTGTTTGGAAGTCCCCACATGATCTGGTGAGCGCTCCACCTTTGCCTCTACGCCTCCTACCTACGTGGTCTGGTTGAACTCTAAAGATTCTCCATGGAAGAAGGGATCAAAGCAAACTACGAATCTGGACAAAAGGAACATTTAGATTTGAGGAAGTAGGAAAGAGGGCGATTTGCTACAGTTTTTACATGGGGTATTTTTAGGATGTTGTAAACTTTAGCTACAGTTCCAATTTGAAGCCTTTTACATATTGCTATGCACATGTGTATACCTAGAATATCAAATGTTTCACAACGAGGTATTCAGTATCCACCACACATTCCTGTAGTAAACTTTGATTCCACATGCAGCTTTACAGGTTCAGTATTGCGTTTAGGAAATTAGTTTCCATGGGGCGCCTGGGTGGCTCAGTCGGTTAAGCCTGCGACTTCAGCTCAGGTCATGATCTCGCAGTCCTGAGTTCGGCCCACGACCGGCTCTGTGCTGACAGCTCCCAGGCTGGAGCCTGTTTCA